CAAAAAAAAAAAAAAAAAAAAGAAGATTAACAATGTATACTATTTACCCAATGATTTATCCGTTTTTAAATTTTTGAAAAAAGTTAATTGGAATAATGTATTTTCTATATTAGATCAGACTTATAATGACAATTTTCATTGTCAGTTATTCTGAAATAAAAACAAGCATATTACATTTCTTTCTTTTTCTTTTCCGAGTTGCAGTCCCACTCTGTCACCCAGGCTGAAGTGCAGTGGCACGATCTCGGCCACCGCAGCCTTGACCTGCTGGGCTCAGGCAATCCTCCCACCTCAGCCTTCCAAATAGCTGGAACTACGCACGCACCATCACGCCCGGATAATTTTTCTTGATTTATTGTAGAGATGAGCTCTTGCCAAATTACCCTTGCTGGGATTGTAGGTGTGAGCCACCGCAACCGGCCACATTATATATTTTTAAAAATATATATATTTTTTATTTTAGAGGTTGTGGGATACATGTGAGGATTTGCTACATAAGTAAATTGTGCACAGGTGACATCTGGGCATCTTGCGAGCCTTCTCTCCCCTTGGCAGTGGACATGGTACCCAGTAAGTGGTTGTGTGGCCCTTATCTCCTCTCCATCCCTCCCCCTGTCCCTCCATTAGCAGTGTTCAGCATTTGTTGTTCCCACCTTCATGTCCTCCACCCAATGATTAGGGCCTGCTTATGAGTGAGAATGTATGGTATTCAGGTTTTTGTTTCTGTGATAGTTCACTTAAAATGATGGCCTCCAGCTGCATCGAAATTGCTGCCAAAGACATGATTTTGTTCTTTGTGATTGCATAGCATTTCATCATATATATGTACTACCTTTTCTTTATCCAGTCCACTTTCGATGGGCATCTGGATTGGTTCCATGTTTTTGCTATTGTGAATAGTGCTGCAATGAATATGTGTGTTGTCTTTTTTTTTGAAGAGTGATTCATCTTCCTCTGGGTATATTCCCAGAAGTGAGATTGCTAGATCAGATGGAAACTCAACTTTTACTTCAAGAAAATGCCACGTTGCTTTCCTCAAAGGTTGAACTAGCTTACATTGCAAATAGTGTAGAAGCATTCCCTTTTCTCTACAGTCTCACCAACACCTGTTGTTTTTTGAGTTTTTAATGATAACTATCCCAACTAGTGTGAGGTAGTGTCCACATTATAGTTTTGATTTGCATTTCTCTGGTGATTAGTGAAGCTGAGCATTTTTTCATGTTTGTTGGCTGCTTGAATGTCTTCCTTTAAAAAGTGTCTGTTCATGTCCTTTGCCCATTTTTTAGTGGAGTTCTTTTTTTCCCCTATCAATCTGAGTTCCTTATAGATCCTGGATGTCAGGTTTTTACTGGATGCATAGCTTGCAAATATTTTTTCCGATTGTTGATTATCTGTCTCTTTGCTCTCTTGATGGTTTCTTTTGCTGTGCATACGTTTTTTAGCTTGATAAGTTCCCACCTGTCAATTTTAGCTTTTGCTGCATTTGGTTTTGAGAACTTGGCCATGAATTCTTGCCTACTTCAATATCCAGGAGGGTGTTCCCTAAGTTTTCTTCAGAGAGTCTTATAGTTTGAAGTTTTACATTTAAGTCCTTGATCCATTTTGAGTTAATTTTTGCCTATGGTTATAGCTAGGGATGCAGTTTCATTCCTCTGCATGTAAGAGCCAGTTTTCTCAGCACTGTTTGCCAAATATAGTTTCCTCTCACTATTTGTTTTTGTCAACTTTGTCAAAGATGAGTTGTTGAAGGTCTGTGGTTTTATTTCTGGATTCTCTGTCCTGTACCATTGGTCTATGTATTTCTTAAGCTGCATTGACTTGTACAATAAAACTTTTTTTTTTTGAGTTGGAGACTCACTCACAATAAAACTTTTTAAGAGACAGGGTCTCACTGTGTTGCTCAGGTTGTAGCACAGTGGCACAATCATAGCCCACTACAGTCTCACCCTCCTGGGCTCAAGCGATCCTCTTTCCTCAGCTTCTCCTACTTACTCCCTCCACCCCTAGTGGGTAGGAATACAGGCATGTGCCCCCATGCCTGGTTGACAAAACTCTTAAGTGTAAAACCATTACTAAGTTCTGTAGTATCAGAGGCCCCAAAATGCAAAAATGTAGCATATGATTTAAGACATCATTTAATAAATGGCTGTTTATTTAAATCATGGGAAAATATAACTTTTACTTTGATAATTCAAGGGTAGATCAAAAGTTTTAGGTACATATGAGAAAAGTCAAATTATATTTTTAGATAACTATAGTACTCTACATCACTTTCATAATGGAATAGAAGGAAGATGTCCCGGAAAAGTTGGCAACAGTGGACAACCTCAGAGTTCTGAATTAATCAGAATGTCTCAAGGTTCTTTCATTCACATCATCTTTCTTACCTGCCTTGTGATTTCAGTGGGGTTTCTTGGATTCTGTAATGTGCCTTTTTGCTATCTAATACGTATATGCCACAGAAATACTTGATAGTGGTAGGGCCAGCAGCTAATCTATGAGAAACTTTTCTTGTTTTTGTTTTTGAGTGAGAGCCTCACTCTGTCACTCAGGCTGGAGCGCAGTCGCATGCTCATGGCTACCATAGCCTCAACCTGCTGGACTCAGATGATCTTTCTGCCTCAGCCTGCCAAGTAGCTGGAACTACAGGTGTGCATCACCACACCTGGCTAATTTTTAAAAATTTATTGTAGAGGCAAGGTCTTGCCAAGTTGCCCAGGCTGGTCTCAAACCCCTGTGCTCAGGCAATCCTCTTGCCTCTGCCTCCCAAAGTGCTGGGATTATAGGCATAAGCCACTGTGCCTGGCCAACTTTGTTATTATTAAAGAAAAATTTATCTGG